CCAAATATCTTGGCCTTTGAATTAACAAGAGTCATATTTGTTCCTTGGAGCTCCTTATTTAAGACATTGAGTTTTTCAAATATATCTGCTAAATAACTGACAAGTGCTTTACCATCAACTGTCAGTAACAGAGTCATATAAGGTTGTCATCCAAGAACTCACTAAGAATATCAAATAATTCCATGAATCTTTTCAGGCAATTCCCATTTGATAACCACCTTACATCAGTATGAAGTAATAATCTTACATAGTCTGCATTTTGATCCTTGCAAAATTGTTTGAAAAGACGCTCACATTTGGCATTAGCTTTTATAGTGTTGATGCATTTTATAACTGCATTCAATGTCTCGTTTAGAACAGGGGAAACTTTTTTGGAAACTAAATTCTGTCTATGAATAACACAATGCACTAACAACATTTGGGGATTGTCGTCTTTCAATAATTTTAAAACTCCATTTTTCTTGCCCATCATCACTGGAGCACCGTCTGCAGCACAAGATATAATGTTCTCCATTGGTATCTGCTTATCATCTAAATATGTTTTTAATTTCTTATATATATCAATTGCAATAGTGGTGGTTTCTAATGCTTCGCAAAATAGCATATCCTCAATAAATTCTCCATTATCAACATATCTTACATAGGCCATTAACAGAGCTTCACTATCTCTTACAGTTGATTCGTCCAACTGTATTGAAAAATTTGTATATTTTAATTTTTCAACAAGTTGTACTTCTACATCACAACTCATTTCATCAATCCTGCTACTAACAGTATTATTACTGAGCGGCATGCTTTTGAGATCTTGGTCATCTTTTTCAAGAACTACTTTCAGAAAAGTTGATATTGCGGGCTTAATTAAATTCTCCCTATTGTATGATTTTTGCCACATTTTGCTATGAGAAGAGAAATTTCATAACTAGCCTCAAGACCACGATCCTTGCTTGCACTTCGATACGATACGAAGTCATTAGTTAAGAGGTGAAAGAAGATTATTAGGAGTTGAGGGAAAAGTGGTGAAACTGAAATACAGTAGGAGTAGAAAGAATCTGGGCTCAACCAGATCGCTTCATCTTTCTTATTGGTGTTTTGTCTTTGTTCTGCTCCCTTGGGTCATCAGACCTTTGTATTAATATTGGTTTATTTATATAATGCTGCTTATTATTATTATTTGTTATTGTTGGAGTTAGTGAGCCTGCCCAGGTCCTTGTGTAACTGGGAGGGTAGTCACATTTTTTATTTTTTTTATTTTATTTTTTTTTTGGAGGTGTTAGTTAAGTGTTAGTTGTGTTAGTCTAAAGGTACACTGTATGGAGAGGCCTGCCAGGTTCTTAGTGGAGCTGGTTGGTCACTCTCATCTTTATTCCTCTAGTAATGTTTTATGTAGAAATGTGTATGTTGAGGCAGGAGGTGGTTCAATTACTTCTTCCTGGCTGATATAGCTGGGAGGGTAATCACATTATTATTATTAATATTATTAATATTTTTTTATTTTTTTATTTATTTTTTATTTAATTTTTTTTTGAGTTAGTGAGCCCGCCCAGGTCCTTGTGTAGCTGGGAGGGTAGTCACATTTTTATTTATTTATTTTTTTTTTTTTACTAAGATGTTAGTTCAATGTTAAATGTTAAATGTTAAATGTTAAATATTAGTTATGTTAGTCTAAAGGTACGCTGTATGGAGAGGCCTGCCAGGTTCTTGTGGAGCTGGTAGGTCACTCTCATCTTTTATTCTCTCTATTAATGTTTTATATGTATATTGGGGCAGGAGATGGTTCAATTACTTTCTTCCTGGCTGATTTAAACCAACTGTGTTCTTGGAATTCTTCGTTGTCTATATTATTTATCCAGTTTTGATATGTTTCTGTGTTAAGTTCAGTCATTTTTTCCAAATATTTACAGCTTTGTTGTGTATATCTACATTGATTGCTAAGAGGTTTGCTCTCTTGTGTAGCTGTTCATTATTGATGTGGTCTGTATATTTTATGTTATATATAAATTTGAGGGCTATATTTTGTACTGTTTGTAACCTTTTAATGCACGTTTTACTAAGGGTGTTCAATGATGGGTGGGTAGTCCATAATTGATTTGACAAGCGGGCAATATAAATCTTTCTTTTTGTTATTAATGCTAAGGTTCTAAAGCGTTTTATTTTTGATAATCTTATTCTTGCCTGTCGTTCTTTATCTTTTAAGTGTTATATATCCCCTTTTTGTTAGTTTTAATCCGAAGCATCCTACCTTCAGTGTCGTAAGGGTATAGTTCCCGGTCGACTATTACTGGACTTGTTTAGACCTTGGCTATTGGTACATTGAATTTGTTCTTATTTCTTGTCCTGATTTTCCATTTTTTCTCAAAATCATTTATGTTTTTTATCGCTCTTACCGTGTAAAGTGCCATAAATTGGGTTGATTTTCCTGGGTATGATACTATTTGAGTAATATCATCAGTAAACATTACATATTCGCTAAAGGGGGTAGGTTGAGGTGTGTCTGAAGTATAAATTGTATATAGTGTTGGAGAAAGGCATCCTCCTTGAGGTACTCCACTCTCAAGATTAAACATAGTTCCCAAAAAGTTTCCAATTTGAATTTGTGCTCTCCTATCGTCTAAATAGTTACACAATATTCTTAGCAAGTATTCGTTAAGTCCCAGTTTTAATATTTTATATTTCAAGCCTAAATGCCAAACTTTATCAAAAGCCTTAGAAACATCCCTTAAAATTATATTGATCTGGTTACCCTTGCTTTTTTTCTTTCTATTGCAATTATTTCCTGTTATTATAGCTATTAAAAAGTTAGGGTATTTCTATTGGGCATAACCATGTTGTCTGTTTAAGTTTAGTTTTCCATGTTGTGTTAAAAGGCTATAAGTCTTGAATTTAATATTTTTTCCAATAGCTTCCCTCCCCATTAAAGATATTAGCCTGTAGTTTAATATTTCCTTATTGTCCTTACCTCTTTAGGAATAAATATCATTTTATATTATTTTAGTTTGTCTGAAAGTAACCAGTTATTACATGTTATAAATGTTTAATAGTGAACAATGAATTTATAGTTGATCTTTTTTCAAACTTCTCCTTTAGGGATTTAAAATACTCCAGTTTTGAATTAACATGAATACTGTGTTTTGCCTTCAAATGATTTTCGAGACGACCTCTCTTCATGGATTCATTAGTCAATCATTGGTGGCACAACAGACAAAAAGGCAACCTTCATCATGAGTCGCTGGTATGAACCCAAACAGCAAGTACTCATCTGAATACTGGCGAACTTTTTTTTGGGCGTGCACACTGTTCATTTTATGCATCATGGGGGTAACTGAAAAGTGAAAATAAAATATTTATATACTTAGGAAAATAAATTTAATATCTAACTTCTGTAACATACAAGGCACAGTGTCAATATGCAGTTGCCATTTCAAGTAAATATTGAGCTTTATATTCACAGTTTTAAATTAATGTTACTGTGACAAGATCAATGAATGATTATTTTTATACATTGTTTTCAGAGAATAACAAGATCAATAATCATAATGAAAAGCACTTTAACCAGCCCTCTCAGTGAAGCTAAAAAACAGAGACAGATAACTATATCAACATGAAACTTGCATTTGTGTTTAATTCAATACTGCTTCCATGCTTTATTGTGCACATTTAATTTGGTTGTAGTTAGTTTCCTCTGTTTTTTTAGCTTCAGTGGGAGCGTTGAGCAGCTGACTAAAACTCACCTTCCTTGACAGCAGATGAAGAACTGCAAAGTTAAACAAGTCAGAAGCCACGCATATAGCTGGTGCCAGATGCACGATAACATTAGTGGGTGAACACTTGACTAGATTGCACAAGCTGTTGTGCTCAGCTAGGTTGTAATTACAATTTTACCCTATAAATTTATAATTTTTACCCATATAGGGTAAAATAAAAAAAAATGTTGATATTACTATATTTTTCATATTGCCCCCTATTATTATTGAATTGCCCCCCAGTGGGGCGTAGGCCCCACGTTGGGAATCACTGCCTTAGATGTAGCCCAAATATTATGTCTCTTATAGCCTGCTGTTTCACACTCCTATAACAAGTAATAAATAATATTATCGTCACTATAAGGAATTTAAATTTAATTCTGTGGATTAGTGACATGGTTTATTGAGAGAAAAAAAGACGTAAAGCAAAGAATGAACACTGAATTCTCTTCCTATATGACAAAGAAAACTTTTTCTTATAACATTTTTGAAGGAAGTTAAATTTTTTTTTACCAGTTTACCGGATGAAGACACAACATAAAATAAATTCAAAGTCCTTCTTTTTATACCAGTTTGTTTGTTGAAAATAGTAAATATTTTTTTGTCAGACACTTATGAACTAATGACAAAAAACGAATGGAAACATATTCCCTCCTAATCGTTTTATAAAACCCGGGAAAAACAAATCTGATGCATTGTGCACAAAGTGCCTAACAATTACCATAAAATAAAATGTCCTGTACTGCCTTCACCACACTGTCACTGGGATGACAGTTAGGACACCTGCATTTTTTGGCTTCATCTCCTTAGTGGCAACTTACGGTACTTCTTGTATATAATATTGCCGATAAAAGTTCTTGACCCATTCTGTTCAGGGGCGGATCGAGAGGGGGTCCTGGGGGTCCGGAACCCCCCCCCCCCTTTTTCATCAGAAAATTCCAATACTTTTTCTTTTATGCAGTTTTGTACTCTGGCTTTTTGTACAGCAAAATATAATTACTATTAACCTCATATTATCTCCTAATATCAAGTGCACATGGTCCCCCCCGCCACAACTTTAAAGACTACCCTTTAAATATTCCTGGAACCACCCCTGCTGTTGCGTAGTTCAGTTTTGATAACTTTTACCTGGCTGAAAACTCGTTCGACGTCAGCATTACTAATGGGTAAGTACAAAATATTAAGAAAAATTTTTGAAAGATTCTCGAATGCCTTCTGTGTAGTCGCCAACAGTCGCCCAGAGTTCGACAGAATCCTTATGATCTTCTGCTTCCCCCTAGTCTACCAGGTTTACCTGCAGGTAGGAGATGTGTAAAAATAATCATATATGCACATATAACACACATGGAGTCTAAATAGTTATGGACAGGTGTGTGTGTGTGTGTGTGTCAAACGATTCAACGAGACAATTGACAAATGCAGTAAAGAACATGATTCAATAGGCTGTAAATGAATGCTTATTTAATAATACTGTATTTCATATTTTTGCGCTATGGATTTAATAACATTGATAAATGATAAGATTATTTCTTGTTACCTGTCCAACAACTTCTGCGGCTCTGCCTGGTACCTGTCTGTCTGACCAACCGCTAAGCCCCTCAGTGAGAGCGTGGGAAAGGAAATTACTATAGATCTTATTTCATTCGAAATATTAAATTACTCGATGATTGTAAGCCAATAAATGAAGAGAAAATGAGCAGTCATGTGCTTACCTTTATTACCAATCCTGAAAAAAGAAATTAATATTCATTCATGAAAACTGATGGAAGATAATTTAATGGTGCCGCGATTTCCTTTTTCAAAAGTAGCCCAATTATAGGCAAGTAGTGGCACCATTTTATTGTCCGCGGTAAGCAGTTTAAAAGGGTTCCATGACAAAACCCCAACGGGGTTGTCATTTGTTAACACTAACCTAACCTAACCTAACCTAACCTAAACAAAAAAGGACGTCTGTCTATGATTTTCGAATTTATGATAATTCTTTTCCAACAAACTGAACTATAGGATCAAAGAACTTTCGAAGCGTAGCAATATCAGCAATGTTAAGATATTA